ATAGAAAGTAGAGGAAATAGAAAGTCATTCACTGAGAAATGTTTATGTAGGAATTTTGTTGTATATCTCATTTGAAAAAGTGAGGTGCTAAAATCCATTGGATGATATATTGAAGGAAAAAAAAACAACTTGACATTTGACCCCTATATAATATATATATAAATAATAATAATAATAATAAATCCAATTTTGTACCGCACTTTTCATTAAGAAAAATCTCAAAGTGCTACACAGTGCAAATAAAATCAAAGATAAAAATCAACCATAAAAATCATGTGGTCAATAAAATCAAAGATAAAAATAAACTAAAAAAAAAAAAAAAAAAATATATATATATATATATATATATATATATATATATATATATATATATATATATATATATATATATATATATATATATATATATATGTGTAGTTTTTTTTCTAGTTATCAGATATATTTACATATCAATGTCATCAATTCATTTATATCACATGTTCATCATCAATTTATCACATTTTGGCTCATCTGTATTATTTTTGCTCCATTAACAAATTAATTTTATTTTGATGAATTTGTATAATATGTTATATTAGATGATTTATAGACTTCATAATGACTACAAAATGTGATGGGCCTATTTTTTTATTCTAAGTTAAAGTTAATCTACTGATGCTATGAAACAGCCAGTCTGACAAAGTGATGAATTTATCTTTATTTTAAAAGTCCCCCTGAAAATGAGAACATCATCGTTGTTTGATGCTGCAACACACGGATTGTTTACATTCTGACCACTCTAACTAGGGAGTACCAATATGGCGGCCGGTGGCTTGACTTCCACCCCGTGCTACCAATAGACAATCAGCGATCCAGTGAATAAATCCAGATAGGCTAGCTTTGCACTTCCTGCAGTCGGTTTCCACGGTAACGGCTACATTATATTGTGTCAGTTTATTGAGCGACATGTAGAGTCGCTGCAGCGCTGATCTGAAGGAGCTTCTATTGGGGTTTGGCTGCTTTGAAACGCTCCCAGAGATTCCTCCTGTTTTCCATCACAGCCGGTAAAGAGCAGCAAGGTCAGAACAGACGGATCCAAATCATGACTCAGCTGTGCTCCTCATGCAGGAGGCTTCATCTGTTTGGCCAGAGGGAACCACAGCAGCTCAGCAGAACAAGAGTTCAGGACTCATCTGGAGACGGAGCTGCAGCTGATGGAGGAGGACGGACTGTGGAGTCCGCTCGCTGTGAGACAGGAGGACAGATACATGCTGGACCCAAACCTGGAGACCAGCGGGGAGGGGGGGAAGGTGTACATCACTGGGAACTGCTACCTCTACAGGAAGTGCAGCAGCACAGAGGGAAACCAGCGTCCATTTAAAAAGATGTAAAGGTCTGGTTTCTAGAAAATATCATTCTAGAAGCAAATAAAGCTTTGCTGCTGCCATCTGATCACACCTGTTTGTTTTCTGGTTATTTATAAACCATCAGCATCTGATTTTCTGTTAATAAGTCGATAAATGTGGGATCCATGTTAAAGGAGCAGCAGAGAGGCAGCCGCAGCTGGAGACGTCCTGACCAGGAATCCCAGACTGGATCCTGTTATTCCTGCTCATACTTCCATCCTGATGGAAGCTGGTCTGTAAATTACCTTTCAAAATAAAAGATTAAATAAAAAATAAGTTAAAAAAAAACTCCTGACCAGCAGCTCCAGCTATGAGTCTCTCTGGAAGAGCAGCATAGATCAGCAGATACCAGAGCAGAGATGAAATGTCTTCTTCATAAGAAATGCTCTGATATGTCCAGATGTGCTCAGGTTCTGGTTCTGCTCTGTCTGCCTGTTTCCTCCTTCCTCTTCTGTCCTGCAGAGATGATCTGTGGGGGGAATAAAGAGCCACAGATTCATTGAGCCTAATAATATTCCTGATGAAGGAGACCAGTTTTCCATCTCCAGGAATCAGGAATTTTTCATCTCTGCTGCTCCAGACCAGCGGCGCGACTTCCTGCTCTCCACTGGGAAGCGTTACGTACATGAAGCATCAGCAACGTATTTTATCATCTAATGAATTTACTCTGTGACATCACACATCTGATCTTTGAATGTTTGAAGATTTTTGGTAGTTGTTAGTTTCACTCGGCTTCTCTAAAGCCTTAAAGAAATAACATGGTCATCCTGATGGTTATTTGGCTGCTTTGAGTCTTTAATTCTGCTTTATTTTATTTTATTTTTTTATGTTTTTTGTTAATTTAAGATAATAAAAATAAAGTGAGATAAACCTTACATTCTACTCATGGGCATATAAGGACACTTCCTGATCATTATCTAACTGAGAGGCCACAAAGGGGGCGGAGCCTCCCCCACATAGAGGACCATTTCAGGAAGAAAAGAGGAAGCAGAGAGAGGTCTCACTCTGATTAGATTTCTGAAGACTTTCTCACTTTGGGATTTTGTACGGAAGAGGATTAGGGCCACTGAAAAAATAAAAAAAAGTTAACTGATTTTTATTATTTTATTTCAGTTTAACATGGGAAAAAAGTCAGAATTCTGACTTTAATGTCAGAATTCTGAGAAAAAAGTCAGAATTCTTTCTTTTTTCCCATGTTAAACTGAAATAAAATAATAAAAATCTGTTAACTTTTTTTTTTTTTCAGTGGCCCTAATCCTCTTCCGTAATTTGGAGACTGATTTTAGCTGAAGTTTTCCATAGTGGGATGACATCACAGCCTACAACTAAACATGTGACCAATCTGCTCGACACACATGTCTAAACTGGTTCCTCCTGGTTTCTAGGCTGAGCTTCAAATTCTATTCTATTCAGTTTATTTCTATAGCTCCAATTCACATCATGTCATCTCAGGTCACTTTCCAGTTCACCAGATCATCCAGTCAGATTGATTCAAAGTTTTCTATCTAAGGAAAACCAGCTGATTGCATCGACTCATTGACTCTTCAGCAATCCCTCACACTAAGCATGCTTGTAGCGACAGTGGAGAGGAAAAACTCCCTTTGAACAGGAAGAAACCTCCAGCAGAACCAGGCTCAGTGTGAGCGGCCATCTGCTGAGGCCCACTGGGGTTCAAGGAGACAGAAGCAGACAGAAAAATAAGCAAATGGAGCCTTTATACGGGACTCTATTAGTGCCAAAAATCTGTACACATGTCTGTGTCTATGTATGACGTATATGTAATTAGTTTATTCAAGTCTCTAGTTCTGGTTAATTCTTGATACTTTTTTACTGTTAATGTTAGAGTTGGTTAATATGACTTTAAAATCGATTTGAAGTCTGATCTAATAATATTTTCTATCTTTTTTTTTCTTCTTACTTAAAATTTCTAATAAAAAACACCAATTAATTCAAAGGGCAACAAACTCATGCTGTAAAACAATCGTGTCTCACAGTAATGAAATTTAACACTCTAAATGTTGAGCTGTTGTTATCACTCAGTGAGATATTTTATCTGACGTCACTCTGAGCTATGGAAGCCCAAAGACTCCATTAGTGGGGAAAATGTCAATTTCCAAAAAATTAAAACATAAACAGAAAGTTTGATGAATTGCTGAGTTCTATTATATGTAGTTCAGCTGTATTTGTTAGGTACTTATGTCTCTATAAGGTGAATAAGTTAGATGTGCAGGAGCTGCTAATGTCTGTAAGTTTAACGGATTCAACCCATCAGAGACAAACATCAACACAAAAGATGCTCCTTCATTAATCTTAGATAGACATAAGCACACTAGAGATACAGCCAAAATATCTACATAAATATGTTACATCTCTATGTAGATATCTACACATTAACGGAGGCGTTAAAAGAAAAAGTTTTTAATCTTTACATTTTAAATATAGACTCCTTTTGTTTTATTTAAGTTCATTTTCATTTTGTCCTATTTAAAAAACATAAGAAACCATCAAAATAATAAGTTTCATCCAGACAATTCATTTCTATGTGGTTGGACTCGGTGCTGCCCCCACTTGTTGCTCACCACAAACCAAAATAAATAGTTTATCAAGATGATTCAAAGTTAAATGTGACTCTGTGAACATTAGCTATAAAACTAAGACAATGAAGTCTAAGGAAGTTATCATCCAGAATTGTAGAAAAATGTTCCTTTATTAGATTAGAGCAGTAAAGCTTCTGGCCTTAATATTGTTCCCGCATTACTTTCACTTATATACGTTAAGCAGTTTTAAAAATGTTACTTTTACTGGAGTGAAAAGCTGAATTTGATCCTCTAACTTATACCAAAGGGAAGGAAAGCAGCAGGATTTATACTGACGGAATAACATGAATACTTTCCACATGTCCATTACGTGTACAGGTGCACATAAACATTTTTTGGCACTATTGGAACCCCATAAAGCTGTAATTTTAAATTTATATAGGGTGTTGAGGACATTGCGTTTTGCGATCTTTAATGGTCTTTGCTCAGGGACCCAGAGAGCCAGTTTGTGGGGCTCGAACTCACAACCTTTGGAATCCAAACGGTCCAGGGGCGGATTTAGGAAATTTTGGGCCCTAGGCAAAGACAGGCAGGGGGCCCTCTGAACCGAGAAGACAACACATAAAGAGACCCATTCTACAGATATAGAAATGTTAACATCCATTATCTATTCTAGGTTTTGTCCCAATTTAAGATAATAAAATTAAATGGAGCAGAATGTGAAAGAAGGCAAGTCTTTATTTATATACAAAAATGAAAAACAATAACAGTCCAATTATTTTTTTATGCGTTTGTCTCTATTAACTTCTTAATGAGGTAAAAATGAATCCATATATAATTTATGCAAATTACAGTTTCTGTTATCAGTGATGCAAGTTAATACTAATTTGTAAATTCTAAAAACACTGTTTCTTGTTAATTCTTCAGTAAACAAGTCTGTGGTTAAAATATAAACAACTGATAAGAATAAACTTTATCTACATCTCTAAGATCTGTAAAGGCTTCAGTTTTCCCTCAGAGAAAGAATCTTCGCAGTGAGCCATCTTCTGTTGCAGACGATCTTGGTGCAGTCTCATCTCGGGCTGCTCCGCGCAGACTCCCCGAATCCTCCCGCATCCTCCCGCATCCCAGCATCAGACCGACCGAAGCGGAACGAGCGGAGCGACCCATGAAGGCTTCCTCCCCGGGATCACAGGCGTGTTTCCGCGGATTCCTCCCCGCTGCTTCCCCTCCGGTGCGGATGTGAAGTGGGAGTCTGTTCTCCTCCATCTCTGCGCTGCTTCGCGTCCAAAGCTGCTCTCAGCCTCAAAATGGCGGACATCATGGAGCTGGGACCCGCCTATGGTGAGCAGAACTCTGCCTCTCTGTCATCATCATCCGGATGATCAGCGCTGAAGGCAGCAGCTGTTTCTGGGGAAAAGGGTCAGAAATCTGGGCCTAAATCCGCTTTGATTTATCATCAGTAATATTAACATGATTAGAGCGGATCGGTTCAGACCTGTTAAAGGCCGGATTAGCTGTAATCTGGACGGAATATTGAGGAACAGATTAATTATCTTTGGATGTTAAATTAATGATTGAATATTATTTTAATTGTGACGTGATCATCCTTTAGAATCTCGCCCACGGCTGCCAATCAAAGCCACAACAATAGTGATAAAAACAGGGCGCGTTCCGGTGCGTGCGCGCGCGTGCCAGTAACGGGTGGGTAGGGGCTGACGTCATGTCTGATCCCTGCGACAGAGAACGGGCAGCATCTGTCCTGAGAAAACATCTCTGTCCCGGTCCGGTCCGGTCCTGTCCGGTCCGGTTCGGTGGCCTGATCCAGAACCGGTTCCAGAAGGCCTCATGAGGGGAAAATAAATCAAAATAATAAAGAGACCAAGCAGCAGCAGCAGTTTATCGTTTCTAGATGAATGAATTCTAGACCCTGAGCGAACAGATTGAAACTCTAATCCTGACGTTTAAAGCTGAATTTAATTTCTAAATAATTGCTGAAGAAAATCGGAAAAATTAAATATGAATTTGGCCAAAAGTGCGACACTGATTTAAATTGATTTAAACTGCAGAAACTGATCAACAAAATAAAAAGCTCTTAAAATATGTTAATAAGATGATCTTCACATTTAATTAGTAGGTATTCCTAATTACTTATTATAAAGTTGAAAAACTTTGATGGAGTTTTTTTAAACATAAATAATAATCTTATCCTTTTGGTAAACTATCTAATCTACCTGCTGAACATTAACCCTCGCTGGAATCTGGATTAGGGAGATCTAAGTTTTTTAGTCTCACATCAAATCCATCTTGAAAGATTCCCACTAATCCGTCCGACCAATGAGCTGCCAGCTGCGTTTTTTTGTGGGCGGGACAACTAGGAATGACGACAGTCAGAAGGGCCTTTCTTTGGCATAACAAACATAGCTACGCTGGATTCTATTCAGTCTATTTCTATAGCTCCAATTCACATCATGTCATCTCAGGTCACTTTATAGATCCAGATCAACCAGATCATCCAGTCAGATTGATTCAAAGTTTTCTATCTAAGGAAAACCAGCTGATTGCATCGACTCATTGACTCTTCAGCAATCCCTCACACTAAGCATGCTTGTAGCGACAGTGGAGAGGAAAAACTCCCTTTGAACAGGAAGAAACCTCCAGCAGAACCAGGCTCAGTGTGAGCGGCCATCTGCTGAGGCCCACTGGGGTTCAAGGAGACAGAAGCAGACATAGAAAAAGAAGCATAGATACAAAAGGCAACTGTCAACCAGCTCCACAGGCGGCCCCGTCCAGGAAACACACAGCCAGGCAGACGAGCTCCGAGCCAGCTCCCATGTCAGAGGATGAAGAGAGCACATCCAGTTAGTCACAGTCAGAGAAACAGGACTACACTGGAAAACAGGCCAAGCTCCAACATCTAGAAACAAAGGTGTTGATGGCAGCAGCACAGCTGATATTTTTCTCCAGGATGGAGTCACAGCCAAACAGGAACAGACCAGATGAAGCTACTATGAGAAAAAGCAGAGAGAGCAGAACGTTAGAGATTGAACTAACAGATTCTGCAGAGTGGGAGAATAGAGATAGAATGAAGCAGAATGATGAAAAAGGGGTCCCTATGTCCTCCAGCAGTCTAAGCCTATAGCAGCAGAACTATAGAGATAGATCAGGATAACCTGAGCCACTCTAACTAGAAGCTTTATCAAAAAGGAAAGTTTTAAGCCTAGCCTTAAAAGTAGACAGGGTGTCTCTGGAGGACTCAGCTGTCGGTTTCTTGTTTAAAAACAAGCACTTTGTTTATTTGTAGATGAAAGCGTATTATGGGAGGCGGGTTCTAGCTGGTACGTCACCCAATCAGCTGGTAGTATTTTACTAAACGTCCCTCCTTTTCAGGGACTGACTGAATGGCAGCCATCTTAGATTGATAACAGAACTCATCAATCTGACTCCTGCCAGGTTAGCTGAAAGACACTCAGTCAAGAAATACTGGCCTAGATATTCATTACTGCCATGTATTATGCTTCCAGTTGAGGGGCCATGAGAGGAGGCGTTCTACAGGGGCCCCTGGCTTCCTTTGGCCCCTGGCTGCAACCACTCAGACTGAAAAAGCTGCTTGTTTGTGATAACATTTGATCCATCCCATTAACTGCCTCCATCTCTGAAGCCATTAAACTGGAGGCACTGAGTCGGCATGGTAACTGCAGCCTGACGCCCCCTGCTGGCTGCTCCACCTGCCAGTTTCCTCCACAGATGAGGAAAAATGGTTTCCAGTTTTCAGATGTAAGGTGTGTGAAAATCTGCTGCCGGTTTCTGAACAATCAGCTTCTGAAAAGGATCCAGGCGTCTGGATCAGATCGTTTTGGAAAAACATTATTTCCCATCTGGAACTTCAGGAGTTTTATTTTATGCTAAATCAAAAGAAGATGTGGGATTAAAAAAGGGAATCCTTGGAGATCATCGAACCCAGCGGACTGTTAGACCCCCCCCCTGCATGCATGCGCCTGTGTGTGCGTTGCCGAGCACCGAGCCGATCTGCCTCCAGCTCTGTCCAAACAGGACATCATCCTCTGAGTCTGAATGAAAGCCGGAAGCAGGAGGAAGGAGGCGTTAATGGCCGCCGCTCCCCTGGTCTTCTGGGAGCAGAATGATTGCAGCCAAGCAGCAAATCTGCTGCGCCACATTTCTTCCCCTTAAAGTGGAGCGTTCTGGTTTAAGGTGTTGAACTATGGTTGGTCTGAAGCTTCAGATTCTCTGCATTCTGCGGTCAGACGGCGGCGGCGCTCGGTGAAGCTGCGTCAGAGCGTCTCCTGGGACTCATCAGGACAACAATGCTGCTCTGTTTGCTGCAAACAAAGGCCTCTTCTCCTCCTCCTCTTCTCCTCCTCCTCTTCCTCAGCCAGGGATCAGCTCACTACAGCAAAGTGCTCTAAAATACTCTGGCATTTGAAAAAAGTTCAAATCAATCCACTGGACTTTCAGTCTAACATGGGAAAAAAGTCAGAATTCTGACTTTTTTCTCAGAATTCTGACAGCTAACAAACGTGTTAGCATCAAGCCATAGCCATGTCTGTTTTAGAGACTAGCTCTCTGGTTTTAATCACCTTCTGTTCCTCCGTTAATTAGGGCACGTAAAAAGTTGCCTAATTCCATCATTTTCCACCAATGAGTCACTGGCCGCCTCAAACATCTCACATCTTTGTCAGTGAAGCTGAGTGCTCCACATCTCTGCCTTCATGGAGCCCATCTACATTAAGATCCAACATTCTGAGATTTAAGTCAGAATTCTGACTTTTTTCCCATATTAAACTGAAAGAAATTATTAAAATCAGTTAACCTTTATTTTTTTTTTCAGTGGCCCTAATCCTCTTCCGTAGAATTTCCTGGAATTTGTTTTGATTGTTTTTGATTGATTGACTTTATTGATCTCACAGAAATGTACTCGTTACATCAGCTCTAATAGTTAACGCAGAAGAAGAAGGAGGCGGCAAACGGCAGATAATAATAATAGCGAACATATTCTGCCGGCAGGTTTCTACATTTTAAGTTAATTTAGGCTTTAAAGTTGTAGGGAAGCGGCTGTTCCAAACGTTGCTTTTTCCAATTCTCCCGAGTGGTTCCCGACTTTACACGAGTCAATAGTGTGAATGAGATTGGTCGATTATCAAGGGGGCGGGACTGTTATGGCGGAAGGCTCACAAGCAGGTTTGGTTGCGAGCCTTCCGGTTTGTGGGAAGCATCTTGCTAACCAGTTAGCAACTTAGGCTACGTTCACACTGCAGCCTGAAGTGACCCAATTCCGATTTTTTTGCCCATATGTGACCTGTATCTGATCTTTTTATGACAGTCTGAACGACACGGATCGGATTTTTTCAAATGCGACCCAGACCACTTGGATATGTGGTCCTGAATCCGATACGTATCTGATCTTTTCAAATGCGACCTGTGTCTGTACGGCCAGGTCGCATTCATCCGACCTACACGTCATTTATACTTGACAAATGTTACTAAACGTTACTAATCTGCGTCCTACTAAGCAGAGGCAGGAAAAACTAACAACCATTGCGGAAGATAACACAGAGAGCAGTCAATGGAGAGAAAGTGAGGTTGCTTAATTCATATTTGGAAAGATAGCTCGATTCAGATCAAACTCGAAGGGTCTTACCGGAACCTCTCTTTCTTTTTGATCTTCTTAAAAAGATTCCGTTCGTAATGTGCCTGCTCCTGTTGGAGAAGGACTTAAAGAACGCAATATACGCTGCGGTATTACGAGTCATGTTTACTTCCACAAACACTGAGGACGCTTGCTACATGTGACGTCATCGCGTCCTCGAGTGCGCATGCGGGACACTTCGGTTGAACGCTTTCAGTTCACACAGTAGATCACATACAAGTCGCATATACTTGGAAGTGTGAACGGACACGCAAAAAAATCCGATTTCACAAAAAAATCGGAATTGAGCATTAAGGCCTGCAGTGTGAACGTAGCCTTAGTGCTAGTAGGTTCCCAATGGGAAATTCCATTGGGACCAAGTAGCACTAAATTGGTGAATTAAAACTAAAACAGCAGAAGCAGCTGGTTTCCATATAAAGTCAACGATTGACGCGCATCAAGGAGCAGCAAAAGGTCCTGCAGCGCGTTTAGAGCAGCAGGAGCAGCTTAAATTAACTTCGAATGTAGAAACCTGCCGGCAGAATATGTTGGCTTTTATTATCCTGCTGCCTGCAGTTTGTAGCACAGACCTGAAAAACGCTAACATCTACTTCCAGCCGCCACCAACAGGAGGGGAAAACCCCCAAGAGGCGAGCGGGCCTGAGGCAGCTGCTGCTGGGGATTCCCAGTGACAGCGCAGCGCCGGTACGTGGGGGTCTGAGCGGCTCCCACAGAGAAATAATCTTTGAAGGCAGGATGGTAATCTGGATGAACTGACTGCACAGACCATGTTTTCAGGAGGGCTTTCTCACTTCAACATAGATTCTAACTACTTTCTACCCGCTGATCACAGCTAATATAGCCGGCATTGTTCCAGGCAGGGAAAGGATAGGGTAGCTCCGCCCACCGCGCATCAGACCCACTTTACCGCCGCGCAGCTAGAGCAGCAAAGATGCTTCAGCCGCGCGTCAGAACTAAACTAAGAGCATCAGAAATGAAGCAGCATGCTAGTTTTCGCTGCTCTAGGTGTGAATGTAGCATCAGAAACGATACATTTCAGGGAACGCTACGACCCTTGCCTCGCAACGCTGCCAGTTCTGTTAGCTCTACGCCTGCCGAAGACACAGACGTCCATCCCCGTGAACACTGGGACGCAACTCAATGGGAAAGGAAAGGATTCTGGTTTCAACCGATGCGTATATGGAGGACAAATATGGAGGACCAACTCTGCCATATTTAAGAATAAAGAAATAAATAAACCCTCAATAAATAAATAAGCACACAATTAATTGCCCCAAAAATACAATTAACAAATAAATGTAGGTAGAAATCAAATTATACAGTGAGACATAAATGTATATAACTTTTAATTAGCTTCTTTATTTATTTGCCTTTGTTATAATAACCTTATTTACTATTATAATCTTCAACTTTTTTATTTATTACTTATTTTTGTGCATGTTATAGTATTTTTGTCTGGTTTATTTTTCCTTTGTATTTTTTTATTTCTGCCTGTTTTTACATTTCTGTCTGAATTTCTGCCTCATTATGCAAATGAGGAGGGGGGCGTGGCCTATAGCTGTGACACGGATCAAGATGCCATGACCGAAAACATTTGATTGACAGATGAACATTGATTTATGATTGGCTGAATTTAGGTGTTCAGGCTGATGTAGAACTAACTGGCCTGCAGAAGATAACGGAAAAAAAAAACAGATTTAAAGACAGGATAAAAAAAAATAAAGAACCTGATAAAGAGAACATTTATAAACCTGTTTAAGCCAGAATGATTTACTTTAAATACGACTTCCCTACGACTTTTAATAAACAGAGGAGTGATCATAGCGCTCTGCATCAGCAGTGCTCAGTCTGACTCCCTGCCAGCTCCCAGATCAGCTTCTCTGATTGGTCGATGCGGCGCGTCCAGCAGCTAAAGGTCAATGTTTCCGACTCCAGCAGCTGCTGCTTCTGAAATGTCAACATTTGAGCAAAGTTTCCATTGGAAAATTAGGGCATAATTTCTAATATTATTATTAAAGGGCGTAGAATGCATGCGGTACGCATTGCTAGCTAAAAGCCCGATGGCTGCTCACGGCAGCGAGGCAGGTCTGGACTGAACCTCTGGCTCTGAAACGAGGAGAACCGGCCTAAGATGTTTATAGAGAAGATGGCGTCCATCCCAGCGGACCAATCAGACGCTTCTCCTTTCCCTGCTTCCTGTCTGCCAGATGATGGCTGACCATCAGAAAATAAGGTGGGAGGTTTTAGATGGCCCAGGGCCCCTAGGAGCCCCGCCAGAAACAACAACCATTCACACAGAAGCTTAAAGATCCTGAAGAACCCAGAAAAACCCATTTAGACCCAAACCAGTCGCCCCGGTTCTATGGAGGTCCAATAGAACCGAAGGTTTTTATTATTGAATAAATGTTAAAGATTCCTCTAAACTCTGCGGTTCTGTCCGGGTTCTGCTCCAATCTCCCCTCTCTCTCTGTTTCAGCCATGTCTCCGGTGCTGGCGGGCTTCCTCGGTGCCGGTGTTCTGGTTCTGGTGGTGGTGGTTCTGGTTCTGCTCTGGTCGTTCTGTCAGCGCCGCTACCTCCGGGTCACCGGGCGCTACAAGCTGCACGGCGACCGCTACTGCGATGCAGAGGACCCGCCCTATAAGTTCATCCATATGCTGAAGGGCATCAGCATTTACCCAGAATCCCTCAGCGGCAGCAAGAGAATTGTTCGCGGCGTCCGACGAGCCGAGCGACCGGACAGGGACGGCTGCCCCGCCGGCGGCGCCGGAGGCAGGGGGATGGTTCTGGTGGACGCAGAGAACAACATCCTGGACGTCCCCGGCCAGCTGCAGATGAGTCACCTGGTCCTGCCGTCCGGGTCGGGCCAGAACCGGCTGGAGCGGGCGCTTCCGGTCCGCGCCGACTACTGCTGCCTGGACAGCAGCTCGGCCAGCAGCAGCCAGAACAGCAGCAAGACGGCGTCCCCTTTCACCCCCGCCTCCTCCGAGCCAGAACCGGAACCCAACCTGGGCTCCCTCAGCCTCACCGTGGATTACAACTTCCCCAAGAAGGCGCTGGTGGTGACGGTAGTCGGGGCCCGGGGCCTCCCCGCCGTGGACGAGCAGGCCGGCAGCTCCGACCCCTACGTGAAGATGACCATCCTGCCCGAGAAGAAGCACAGGGTGAAGACGCGCGTGCTGAGGAAGACGCTGGACCCCATCTTTGACGAGACCTTCACCTTCTACGGCGTGGCCTACAGCGCGCTGCCTGAGCTCACCCTGCACTTCCTGGTCCTCAGCTTCGACCGCTTCGCCCGCGACGACGTCATCGGTGAGGCCGTGGTGCCGCTGAAGGGCGTGGACCCGAGCACGGGCCGGGTCCACCTGAGCCAGCAGATCACCAAGAGGAACATGCAGGTGAGGAAGGATTCAAAATGAGTCGATGCAATCAGCTGGTTTTCCTTAGAAAACTTTGAATCAATCTGACTGGATGATCTGGTTGATCTGGATCTATAATGTGACCTGAGATGACATGATGTGAATTGGAGCTATAGAAATAAACTGAATAGAATTAAGTTTCATTGTTGTCATGGAAACCTCCTAGAACAGAGCCTCAGGCCCGGTCCTTCTTAAACAGAGACTGTGTCTGACACCGTTTCTCATTTCATAGGAACGTGAGGACGGACTCGTGTCCTCGCCAAGTCTGTTCTAGACTAGAACCCAGAAAAGTCTGGACCCGGGGAGAACGGGACACACAGAATAAATCTGGGTCAACTGGAACAGCAGCGTACTGATGACATCACCACATTTAAAGCTAGTCTGGAGCTGCATTTCACCTCCTGTTATTAATAGAATATAGATAATAATAAATTATGACTTATTTTATTTAGTGGAGGAATAATAATGAACACAGTCAGATAAACACAAATCAATATGAACCTTTTGCTAAGTAAAACAAAATTTATCGCCATCAGAGTCAGCGGTCCTTCACACACGGCTATGCAGAGAGAGGGTTGCTGCAGACGGGCTAAAGTTAGCCCTAGCTGCTGCAGATGGGCTAACGTTAGCCCTAGCTGCTGCAGACGGGCTAAAGTTAGCCCTAGCTGCTGCAGATGGGCTAACGTTAGCCCTAGCTGCTGCAGACGGGCTAAAGTTAGCCCTAGCTGCTGCAGATGGGCTAACGTTAGCCCTAGCTGCTGCAGACGGGCTAACGTTAGCCCTGGCTGCCGTTAGCTTTGGAGCTCCACTGGTTGTCGCGGTGCTCTCAACTTCAGAAATTGTTTTTTTAATAACGCATTAAATCGGTAAATGTTCCATATAGCGACGCTTTAAAGTATAATATTCGCCTCAAATGAATAAAAACGTACTTTTATTGAACAGCAGCAACAGAGAAGAGAACTTTTAGCTTCCAATGGAGCGCTCCATTGAAAGCTGCTGCTGCAGTGCATGCTGGGACAGCTGTCAATCTCAGGAACAGATAAGTCTGCTGTGATGCATGCTGGGTAAAGAGGGCGGGGCGAGAACAACATCCAGATGTTCTCAGTCTGGCGTTCGCGTCTGAAGCTGATGACGCGTCACCAGAACGCTCAAGAACGTAAATTGAGAAAGGGCCTGAACGTCCGCCCTGACCCCTGACCTCTGACCCCTCCATCGCTCTATCGTGACCCAGTTAACTAGCCGTTCGGACAGATCATCACTGCTTCTCGCTCCTCGTTGATCACGTGACTCCGCCTCCTTCCTTGCTGTCTGCGCCATCTTTCTTCTTTTTCGCCCCAAAACAAATCCCATGATACTTTGCAAAGAGCGCTCTTGCAGAGAATCTCAGAATATATCTGCTCATCTAGTGGCCGTGGATGGTCACTACTTTCCAAGGTGCATTGTTGAGCCTCTATGGAGCTCCATGGAGGGGTTAGGATGGACGTTCAGACACAGCCAGTAGGTTATGCTGCAGGGCCTCCATCAGGCTGGTGGCCATGGCGCCCCCATCAGGCTGCTCACTATGGCGCCCCCTTCAGGCTGACGTTTACTGTTTTTCTCTCCTTGTTCTCAGTGCGAGAGCCGCGGGGAGCTGCTGGCGTCTCTCTCCTACCAGCCCGTGTCTCATCGCCTCAGCGTTGTGGTCCTGAAGGCCAGACACCTCCCCAAGATGGACATGACGGGCCTGTCAGCCAGTGAGTACCACCACAACCAGCCTGAAAATAAAGCTAAGAGGACCGTCTGGGAGGATAAAAGACCAGGATCAGTTATTAAAACATCTTCATCTTTGACTAAAATCAGACCTGATCGTAGATCTGCAGATGTTTTTTATCCATCCGTGGACTGAACCTGAGTTGATTATGGAAATTATCGTCAACAATTAATCTGTTAATCGTTAACTGGAGTACAGAGAAACATGCTTTTAGCAGACAGAGCGACCCACTTAGAGCAGGAAGTATGCAGAGTTTGAAAATATATAGAAATATTTTGCATTTAAAGGTATAATGGAGGATTTTTACCAATTAAAAAAAGGGAACGTCAGTTAAAGCTGCAGTCTGTAACATTGAGGAGAGAGCAGACTTCGACTGAAAATTTGAAGAAAAACAGGTTTCACTCCACTCCCCCACCCTCTCTGCTTCACTCATGCCCCACCTCCAAGCTCCACCCCTCTCACAGCATCTGCGCGGCTACCGCATGCGACCAGAAGGGGGGGGGGGGGGGGGGGGGGGATTCAGCGTGTGTGAGCTGTGATTGACACTCCATCAGACGCTCCTCTGGCTGTGATTGGTTGTTTTGACTCGTCCCGAATTATTCTTTCCAGATTGAAATACAGGCAGTAGGCGGGACCAATTGAAGCAGTTTTTTTCACAGGTTACATATCACATGTACTGCTGTCTGGGCAACAGTTTTAGCCAATATGACAAAAAGTGATTTTTAAAAACTTACAGACTTCAGCTTTAAAGGTGTGTGAGAGCGTGCACGAGCCCATTTCTCCTCGGGCACGCTCTGCTGCGTGCGTCGCTCATCCTACTGTCAGACTCGCCACCGTGGAAACGCCTGGAAAATCTGCTCTACTCAGAACTCCTCAAGCAGAAAGGTTTTTAATTTAAAAGCTTCTTTAAGGTTTAGCTGATGATTATTTCAATTATCGATTAATCTGATCAATTGTTTTAACCCTTACAGTAAATATTCTAACATTACTGTTAAATGTATTAATACTGCTACTGATGTATTGCTGGGCGATATATTGAATATGATAGATGTTTCTGGAGTTTTTCCCACGTACGACAAAATGACTCCATCAACCATCGAGTACAGGTTCCCATGACGACATTAAGCCGTCTGCATCTTTATCACTGAGGGTTTTATTTTTCCCCACACACTTTGAACGCATCATGAATCCATTCTCCAAACAGCATGATTTTCTCACAAACTGCAGCAACAGGCAACATGGCGACAGCAGCAGTTTCAGGTGAGCGACATACGGCAGCGGTTTGGGTTTCACGCCGAGGACGTTGGCGCTCATTGGTAGGACCAAAATCCATCGCTGCAAAAGGAAGCAGAACAGATTTATTCCACCACCTAAAACGTCATCGGCTGCAAAATGAAGAATGTTGTAAACGCTGCATGTCAGCGTCACCCCGCCCACTAATTAAAACCTTCAGTCAATCAGCTGTGAGGCCGATGGCGTTGGAATTGTCGTTTGAAAAAGAGATTTCATGTGAGAGAAACAGGAAGAGATGGAGGGAAACTACAGACGCTGTTTATGACGTTATTTACATTTTTAGATGCTCTAATGGATAAATAAAGGTTTGAGTTTAATCTTTTTGAATATCTTCCCTGAACTTTTTTACCAGAATTTTATTTTTCTTCTCTTGTTGCCGCGGCGCCCCCTGGTGAAGCAGCGCCACACTGCATGCCTCCTTACTGTTAGCCGTTAAAAAGCAGCCAATCAGATGACTGCGTCTCAGAGGGAACCGCCATAGTCCCGCCCACCATGACATAAATACAGTAAAGCTAATAAATCGTTATTTAAAGCAACGTTTTTTAAATCCTTCTTCTGCTCTCAGATCCGTACGTGAAGGTGAACGTCTTCTACGGCCGCAAGCGCATCGCCAAGAAGAAGACCCACGTGAAGAAATGCACGCTGAACCCCGTCTTCAACGAGTCCTTCATCTACGACATCCCTCCGGAGCTCCTCCCTGAGATCTCCGTGGAGTTCCTGGTGGTGGACTTCGACCGGACCACCAAGAACGAGGTGCTGGGCCGCCTGCTGCTGGGCCTCCACAGCCCCTCCTCCTCCGGCGCCTCCCACTGGAGGGAGGTGTGTGAAAACCCCCGCCGGCAGATCTCCAAGTGGCACAACCTGAGCGAGTACTGAGGAGGAGGAGGAGGAGCAGAAACCAGCTCCCAGCAGCTGGGACTCCGCCAGTGGAGACAGAGACTCAGTGTACAGCTCACCATCCCCCCCCCCGCGCACACACACACGGCGAGGTCGTCCATCATCTTCATCACGTTTGCAAAAGAAGAAGAAAATTCCTGCAGTTTCATTTAGAAAAGAAGAAAAGATCCTGTCGTCCTCAGAGGGGGCGGGGCTAAGATACAGAAGAAGAAGACCCCGCCCCCTTCTCCCCCTAAGCCACCGGTACCGACCCATTAACGCAGCGCCCGGCATTTAACCGCTCCCCATCAGAACCCGGTCAGAACCTGGTTCTGGTTCTGGTTCTGCCCCTCAGCATGCTCCCTGCTCCTCCTGCTCCAGAACTTTCCAGGATCCTGAGGGACGGTTCCGACCCGTTTAAACCAATTAATGCGGACAGAACCTGAATCCTGAGACCCGTTTTAGTCCCAAATGTTGGTCCTGGAGACTGAAGTAGAGGCCAGATGGGCCGGCCCAGAGACGGAGGACCAGAACCGGGCCGGTTCTGCTCAGCCGGTCCGGTTCTGCTGGTCCGGTTCTGTTAGTCGGGTTCTGCTGATGCTGTTTGCTTCCATCTGCTGCCACTCTGGTACTTTCTGTTGCGGTTCTGGTCTGATGGATAAGTTCCACATCTTTGGGTCGACTGTGTCCCAGTAGAACTGGACCCGGTTCAGTTTCCAGATTCTGAATTTCCAGAATTCTGTTCTGGAGAGAAAAGTTGAAGCGGTTCTGAAAAACCCAAACTGTTTAATTTAGGTTCTGCCGCCTGTCAGTGGTTCTGGTCTCCGGCTCAGCATAAACAGAACCAGCGTCTGGGTCGGTTCTTTAGGTACAAACGGAACCAAACGTCTTTTATTAAATAATCAGAACCGGCTTCCAGATGTTCTGGGCTCTGTAGGTTCTGCTGAACCAAATCTAGTCAGAACCAGAACCAGGTTCTGCTCCTCTGTGACCAACGGATCATTTGCTGCAGAATTAGTCAGAACCAGAGCGACTGGATCAGGAGGGAATAATCAGAACTGAGGCAGAAGAAAAGACGACGTTTATGATCAGTTTGGTTCTGGACCGGAACCAGAAGCTGGGCCTCTGCAGCGGGTCGGTCCAGACCGCGGTTCTGGACCTTCCACTGCTGTGACAAAAAGTTTTTAAATTTAAATAAAACAGTCTGATTATTTTGATTTGAATTTGATATTAAACCAAAGTCCTGGTAAAACTGGTTCTGATCCAGTTTCCTCTCTTTTGGTCAAAAAACTTTGAGCAAAAGTTTTTCTCTATTTTCAATAAATGTTTAAAAACAGGAAACCAATCAGATTTAATCAAAGATGGCCGCCGTCTGCCACAGGTTACCTTTAAATCCACTAGAGGGCGCTCGTCCAGAAACCGTTTCTCTTCTTTTAAATTGGCTTAAAAAAAAGATCAGAGAAAAGGTTCCATTTTCTCAACTGAACCAGGCGGCGGATAGTTTAACGGCTGTTTGCTCAGATCAGCTGATTCTATTCACTTTATTTCTATAGCTCCAATTCACATCCTGTCATCTCAGGTTTATAGAAACAGTTCAACCAGATCATCCAGTCAGATTGATTCAAAGTTTTCTATCTAAGGAAAACCAGCTGATTGCATCGACTCATTGACTCTTCAGCAATCCCTCACACTAAGCATGCTTGTAGCGACAGTGGAGAGGAAAAACTCCCTTTGAACAGGAAGAAACCTCCAGCAGAACCAGGCTCAGTGTGAGCGGCCATCTGCTGAGGCCCACTGGGGTTCAAGGAGACAGAAGCAGACATAGAAAAAGAAGCATAGATACAAAAGGCAACCAGCTCCACAGGCGGCCCCGTCCAGGAAACACACAGCCAGGCAGACGAGCTCCGAGCCAGCTCCCATGTCAGAGGATGAAGAGAGCACATCCAGTTAGTCACAGTCAGAGAAACAGGACTACACTGGAAAACAGGCCAAGCTCCAACATCTAGAAACAAAGGTGTTGATGGCAGCAGCACAGCTGATATTTCTCTCCAGGATGGAGTCACAGCCAAACAGGAACAGACCAGATGAAGCTACTATGAGAAAAAGCAGAGAGAGCAGAACGTTAGAGATTGAACTAACAGATTCTGCAGAGTGGGAGAATAGAGATAGAATGAAGCAGAATGATGAAAAAGGGATCCCTATGTCCTCCAGCAGTGTAAGCCTATAGCAGCAGAACTATAGAGATAGAACGGGATAACCTGAGCCACTCTAACTAGAAGCTTTATCAAAAAGGAAAGTTTTTGATCATTCCTGAAAAGGAAGGAAAAGCTAATCTAAGACGGAACGTAAATGTTTGATCAGTAGAACCATCCGAGCCGCTCAGATGGAAGCAAACAGCTTCGTCTGTCCTCTGCTTCACGTCTCCGTTTCCTCCTTTATCCACGCCCGCCCTCCGATCAGCCAGCAGATGGCGCCGCTTTCTGCTCGTTCTTCCCACATGTTTGAAGTTTGTTGTGACTGAGAGGATTTCTAGAAAGCACACGTTAGCCTGAGATTACAGTTAATCCACCTTAATCTCCGCAGCTCCTTCTGGACTGAAGACTTTAACCGGAGTGAAGCTGCCCCCCGGCAGCCTAATCTCCATGGACGCCCTTGGATCTCGGAGCTTCCCTGCAGATTGTAGATTTGTACAGATGTGAAAATGATTGCTGGTTCCCTTCCTGTCTCCTGTCCCCAGAGCTTTAGTGTGTTTGAGCGCCCCCTGCTGTAGCCCTGGATGCTAACCTCTGTGTTGGGTTTGTAACACTCGGTGGACGTCCAAATAAAAACAAGTGAGCTATGAGGGGCGTCTCCGCGTCTTTTCTTCTTCTGTAGCTCCTGCAGCAGCTGGACGTGGCCTTGGAGGCCCGCTCTGTCATTTCAGAACCTTTTCCTCCTCCATGTATCGATCATGTTATGTTCAACTGATTATCATCATTTTCCAGCATGGATCCAGTTTTTTCCACCTCGTTCAGATTTGTAAAAAGTTCAGATTGAAGGTTTTATGTGTTTTAGAATAAAATAATGTCAAACATCAGCTGCTCCTGCAGAGGAAAACGATTTAAATCATCTTAGAGTTTTTTCCATCGTCTGTTTGGATTAAAGGAAAACAGGTGAGGAGCTGCAGCTGCTGGATGGACCTTCATCAGGTGCGTACGTCAGTTTCTCTAATCTGTTGGATTAGCAGAACATCTAGTAGAGATGGACCAACATCAGTCTAACTGATCCCTGATATGCGCTGCCAATATTTGGGCCTGATTCTTATTGCTTTCTCTTCCTCCTTACATGATAGAAGTCCAACATGTTCAGATGTAAACATAATATATCAAATATTGCATAATATAAACTATTTATATTATATTTATATACTTTAAATCTCTCATACTAGGACTTTTATTGTATAGTTATTCTAATTTTAGCTGTTTATTCTTCTATCGATTGCTATCAATAAATAAACCAAGAAAAACTCCAACATTGTCATTAAATGATGCAGTTACACCGGCCCACCTCTAGAGGCCAGTGTAGTGCAGATCTAATGTTTTCAGTAGGGAGTATTTTGGAGGCAGCCATCATAGACATTTATTTTTTCAATAGAATTTTATTTGTTTGTGCAGAGAACTTTCCAGAGCAACCATGTTGCACTATAGGTATTCTTAACAACCATTTTTAATAGAATAAATTCAGATGTTTAGCAGTCAAGTAAATGTCCTCATTTTGTACAAAACAAGAAACAATAAGGAAGAAAGAGAAGAAAAAAAATGAAATGGTAAATCTATTAAATAAAAGTTAACACTAGGGAGAAACAGCGCTCTAAATAAGAAGATTAAAAAGGACACAGGCTTCTAGGAGTCTTTGAGAAATCATAGATAATTACTTTAATAATAACTTAAAATTCATTAAATGTAGATATCAGTGGATTTAAATATAATTAATTTGTAGAATGATTATTGATAAAAGTAGGTAATGATAATGTAAAATATGTTTGCCCCAGAGCTCAAACCTGAAAGAATTTTGTCCACTTTACCTTTTATTTATACATTATAGATGTTTAAATAGATCCGTCTATTAATTAGCAAAGGCTGAAGGAAAGTCTAGTTAGTCTTTATTTAGAAAATAGGAATATTGAGCTAATTCCTGATGGAACAGTGTAGATTGACCCTGAGGTTCTGGTGCCTTTCGGCCACCCCTCAATGTACATCTGTTATTGACGGGCCCGACCCCCAGCCATCAGTGCCGCATCCCAACACCACAGTCCGAAATCTAAATGGAATCTTAATTTGAAAAAATCATCATCATTCAGTTTAGTATTTTAATGACACTTCTTCTTGTTTTATTTATTTTCTTTGCAGCATTATTTAAGACTGTGACAAAGAAGTTTGTAAAACAAAGATTAAACTTACCTGATTAGCTTTGTCGCTCGAACCACTCAGTCCAGACGGCATCTTTTTGTGAACGGACGCAGAATTTACTTTGCTGTCATGGGAAAGTTTTTCGTTTTATAAAATGTCTGCTTATTTTTATATAAATTAACAAATTCTGGAATGATGATAAGTGGCAGTTCCAGTGTAAATGTGTTTAAAGTAATATTTTTCATAGGATCTTACCAAAACAAGACAAAATCCCGAGTAGTTGGAGTTCCCACAGTCCCTGAATGCGACATGGAACGGGACATCTCTCCAGCGACTGAAAAAGGAATTTGAAACTAAGAGAAATACAAACGGAAAGAAATTGATTTATATCTTAAAATATAAAATTGCAATAAATAAAAGAAATAAATAAAATAATTAAAATACTGAACTAAATAATGAGTTTTTTCAAGCAGTTTCTCAGGTTTTAGACTATGACTTGATTCAATATCAACTTCTATTTTTCTGATTTCAACTTTAGATTTTTTAGTTTGGAGTAAGATTTATAAGTTTACAAACATTTTGACCCATTTCTAACTCCATACATTCTCTTCATGGTGGCTCTGAAGTTCAGTTTTTGTGACGTGCATAAGAGGTTTTATAGGCATTGCCTCATATTTCTACACAGTAACTCCAGTAAGGTGATATAAATGCAGAAT